CTCACCCACGCAGTGGCCAAACACCCTGAAAGTGCTGAAAGGCACATCACCCACACATCCTCGCGTCGCCCCAGTGCGTCACCCGTGGCGCGTCTCTGCCAGGTGTGCTGCTGTGAGCTGTCCTTGAAGGGGTGCGTGAACCCCGGTTTTGTTTGCCATGTCTGTGATGTCCTCTGTGCTGCTTCTCAGGGGAGATGCCGTGCGAGGCGGGAAGGCGACCCGAACCCGGGCCCACTTTACGAACTAGTGGAGGGAGAGAGGCTGTATTACAGAAAACAGAAGGTGCTGTGTGTGCTTCCTTAGTGTTCACACCAAATATTAACACCTCCCTCAAGATTCTCTGCTGTTTCTGCTGAACTCTAAAGAAAAATGCCTTGTTCCTATTTTAAGCATTTCAGAGGCACTATTTAATTGTGAGTTTTTTGGTTGTTGCTGCTTTATGTTTTTGCGTTTATTTATTTATTTTGCTAGCTTCTGAAAAAATGTCTTGGTAAACCTATCTAGGTATCATCAACCTGTATGTCATTTAGATCAACAATACTAATAATGATGATAATGGCAACAATGGAGATAATAGTTTAAGATGTAAAACCTTGTGCCAAGCACTTCGACAAAGAGTTTTTTCTTTTGTCTTGCATCTGTGATGTGGGTATTATAATCTCCATTTTTCAGATGAGGGAACCTCGTCACAGAGAAATTAAGTGCCGTGTGAAGCTCACATGGCTGGGAAGTATTGGAGACAATCTGACTTCTGAGGCTGTATTAGAGGTTAGCTATTTTGAAAAGATAGAAATAGTTTTAATAATATTTCTGAGACTGCAAGTCTTATGAAAGCCATGATGTGTTTAAAAGAAAACAACAAAACTACCATATGGCCTCTCTCTGCCTCTTTCCTTCCCATTCTCTCCCCTTTCTCTGACTCATGGTAGCTAGCTTTTGGTAAAGCCTCTATTTGCTACATCATATCCAATTACACTTTAGGTACCAAAGGCCACTTAAAAACCATAAATTCACTCTTTCTGTAATAAATTGACACATGGGAACTGCCTCTGCAGGCCTCAGAAATATTCAGTGAATATTTGTTTTTATGGTCAAGGCTTTTCACCTTTTATTATTATTATTGGATTCCTCTGTTCTTGAAAAGCAAAATTAAAAATTAGAACACACTATTTCCTTGTGGCAATTTGTTATTGCAGCTGCTTTAGTTTCAGGTTTTTTCCCTCTCCAAATGTGGTTTATTATTTTCTGCTAACATTTCAATTGTAACAGCATCCTAAGGCTATTATAAGAGAGGTTATCATTTTAGAATTAGAAAGAAATAAACCCTTTAGACTATTTTTATGCTTGTGGATTTCATCATTTTTAATATTTTTCAACTGCTTTCTGTATATTTTGTACCATGTTTGGTAGATCGTTTCTTTCAGAGTAATTAAGGTGGGGATTTAGGATTTCTAACATTTTAATTTCTCTTTCTATCCTTCAGGGTTTACAGCCTTTCTTTGGCAAAATCTCTTTGCTCAACATTGGAGTTTCCCTTTCTAAAGCACTGGCCTCGTAGCACAGTTTAGATTAATTAGTCTGAGGAGAGATGGATTGTGATCCTCTGTTGTTGACTAGGTATGTCTCCATGGGGAGTCATGTCTCTTTTTTGCTTGTTTAAAAGGCTATGGTGTTCATTGAAATGCACTGCCCAGCATCCACTCCAAGGATCCAGGTCGATGGGATTGCGGAAAGCCACCAGCTGTCAGCTTCATGGGGGATTGCCTCCGCTGCTGGGAACCTCCTTGCCTGAGGGCGTGCCCTTCCCAGGGCAGCCCACATCCATTGATCCGATATGGCAGGAATATAAAGGCCCTCCTGGGGCGATTCTGACGGGCTGTCTACTCCCGACCTCTGGCAAGGTTGGCTTTGTTGGGCCTGATTGCAGTTGGTTGACTTCTCCCTCTGCCCCAAGTTGCTACCACTATGTTGATTCCCCCAAAATAGTTGTCAACCTAACCTGCATAGGGACCTATATATGAATCTCACCCAATGAAAACATTCTAGGGCCCCGTGTTATGAATGATGTCCTGGTCAGGAGTGAGATCACTTGGTCATGGTAATGAGGACGTGTGTCTTCCATGTCTTTTCCTATTTTTCTATCCGTGAAGCCCTGCTAATATAAATGAAGTGAAAGCGATTGAGAATAGCGATAGGTCTGTAATTGTTACTCCTCCTTTGTTTCTAAAATTGAATCACATTTAAAAATTTTTAAGCGTATCTCTTTAATAATTTTT